TTAAGAACCCCCATAATAGCACACATACCAAACGGGAGATGGATCTTTTTCAAACCATCTGAAATTATAACACTCCTCCAAAATTGTAGTGCCCTATTGTTCAACCCAAGTACATTTTATTAAATGCACGTACCTGTACCAGTTGGTGAGAGTCATCATGATATACAGCGAGGCCAAGAAAAGCATGAAATGAAAGAAGGAGTAACTATATGTAACTCCATCCCTTTCATTGTCTATGGCCCGATGGACACCATCTCCATCATCCAGGGAGCCATCACTTCTGGGTACTCCATCTTCTATCAGTGTGGATTCATCGCTGGTTAGTGTCAGTTTGTTAACCTGGCTGTTATTGGATGTCCGGATGCTGCATTTCAAGAGAATTAATACAGTAATCAACATTTTAAAAATCAGATGCTAAAACATAAAAAGAGCAAAACTTACTTAAAAACGTGCCTCATTCTTACCTTGAATAGAGGACACACAGCAGAAACAAAATAAGCCCTACAATTCCCTGGGCATCCCACCATTGGACAACCTGATTTTGGCTTGGAACAGTGGTGGTGTTGTAACCAATTATGCTGAGCAAGCTTGGATTGCACTTCCTGTCTGTTGGGGAGATTACATTAGAAATTACACAAAACAAGAGTGTAAAACAATTATTTATGCAAAGTACTGAAGACAGGGGCATAAGAAATTTTTATGAATTCAGAAAGCAACTTAGTAAACATTAAGTTGTATGAAAAACAAAGGTGGTGTTTGAGAAAATAAAGGGAAAACATTTTGAAGAGAATGGTTTAATTATAAATAAAATATCCATGGAGACTTTTATGGCTCCAACTGGCTCCTAAACTGAAGTGTAGGAAAAATACACTGTCTTTTTCTACAGAAGAGTGCTTAACCTCCAGCCTGTGGGCCAAATGCACTCCACAAAGCCATCACATCTGGCCCACGAGGCTCCCCACAGGTCAGAAAAATTTAGTGGGGGGTGGGGGAGGGAATGGTGGCAATTAATATGGCCACCCTCTCCCCTTCCGAATTCCCAAACCCAAAGCACTGCACAGCAGGTTAAAAACAGGGCACACTTCATTGCCCTGCTAGATCAGGCCCAGGCTATGCCCTTCTTGGCTGGATCGAAGCCGGATCAAGCTCATCGAAGAAGGCAAGCCCTGAATTCTCCATATGTGAAACAAGCAAACAAATCCTAGCACCACCTCTGAAAGAGATCTCTCTCACTCCATATAATAAGGCTATGCCTGGAATGAAACAAGGGCTCCTGCTTCAGACAACATATATCATACAGTAGTGCATCCTAATGCACTCTTTCAAAGATTTGAACAGGGAGGAATTTGTTTCTTCACTTTTGTTTTGAAGACTAGGAAGTCCCATACAAACTCTATGTTAAAGATGCAAACAGAAGAGTCTACCAGTCAGGAAATGACAAACTGTCATTTAAAGCATGTATTATGATAAAGAATTTTCTCTCAAATTCAAATATTATCATCCACACGCTACAAAAATGGATGCCTCAACTGTATGAGAAGCATAAAATGTATCGATCAGCTGTAGCAGACACAGCATTATGTGCACATCACATACCTGATATACCTTTACCATCTCAAGGCAAACATTAAGAAGCGTGGCACTGACACCACAAATTGGAGAGGGGACAGGACAGGGCTATATGATGATGCTTTGTGAAAAAAAAGTACATCATACTTTGAGAAAAACTGTCTCACCCTGGAAGCAGAAAAACAACAGAAATGGGAGGAAAGGAAACAAATTCACGATTCGACCCTCCCTTGAACCACCACCATGGCATCTGTCAGTCTGTGGCTCCAGAATCAGCCTTCTTAGCCATCAGCAGACTCATCTACAACCCTTTACTTAACCCGTGGAAGTGATCAACCTTGACCGTGAGGGATTGCTGCTGCCACCGCCAACGTACTGGCAGTAGAGTGCAACAGAGAGCTCTCTCTTTGTAGCCTAAAATTTTCATCCTCTCATATAATTTACTACTCTGAATATTTTACAGCAGCAGTTCCCCCATCTGTGGTGGCAGTACAACCTGTCAGTGGTATGCATTAACAGATAGATTATATTTACTTTTTATGGCAAAACCTTGCTGGTGGTACTTAAGGTTGTATCGTTTTTAACTGATGCTGCACAACCTGTCAGAGTTTGATAACCGCTGCTTTACAGAGATGGCACACTTCACCTTTACAAAGAACCACCACCTTTTAGAAGCGTACAATTTGCCAGGCTTACCTGGTTCATTGGTCATAGCTGACCAGGTTAAGTACATTGTGTAAATAGTGATCACTGAAGACTGCAGCAAACCAGATCTTGGCTGAGATTCCTAAAATACAGGAGACGCATGGAGAAACCCTTAAGACAGGCAGTTAAAGTAGGTGCTTATATTTATATTAGTACCTTTTAAAAAAAATTACACACAAAAACAAAAAGCATACCTGAATCTTAGGCAAAATTGACATTACAGAGGCACCAATACAAAGCAGCATATTAACACTGATGAATGCTTTATTCTCAGAGCAGCCTTCTGGATGAGTGTAATAAACATAAAACAGGATGATAGCTACCAGAGACAGCAGATAATTTACAGCCGTAGCTGACAGCAAAGCTGCAAAAGAGAGAAAGCAATTAAGTAGGCTGAAAAATGTGGAGCAATACCTTTTAATATTTTTTTGACTGTGGGTTTTTTCTTTTAAAGTAGAGCATTATAAAAAAAACTGGAACAAGACAATGGCTATAGAGAGATGTCAAGTACTGAAACTTATCATTTTAATGGTTTTAATTAGGTAAGTTAACTGGAGGAGGGATCTTTTTTATACTGTATCTACATAACACCTAGCAGAATTCTTCCTAGTGTCTCAAGGTACTACCGTAAAAAGTAAAATACCACTATCAACAGGAAGTTTAGAGCACTAACAAAAAGCTCAAATACAGAAACAAGAAGCTGGATAAGGCAAGTTGAGGAACCTACCTAAATTAAATTAGATTGTTGCTGGCCCTCAAATAATATCAATAAGTCAAATCATGGGTGGAGCATTTTTACAAGCAGCTTATTCCTGAATAACCTCTCTCAACAAGCCTGAGAGGTTATATAATATCAAGTGAAAGACTCCAACTTAGCATAAACGATACAGCCTAACTCAGAGAATGGGAAGAAATTCTGGTTTTGAAACCAGCATCTTTGCTTATGAGGTATTTGGGTAAAATAGCATTAACACACTGCATTGTTACATCTCACTAAGTTTAATGCGCACTGAACTGTAGTACTCTCTTCCTTACCGGCATACCAGCATCTTGAATTTCCTTCCTCCATTTTTTCAACCCAAGATTCATTCCAGGAGTGGGCAAAATCAATAAGCAAGACCAGCTGAATAAGAATGAAGCAGAAGGCACCAGCCATGCCTACGTAAAACCACACTGAGGACAACAAGGTAAAATTAATTCAGAGTAATGGAAAATTTACTTGCTTGTTCTTAAAAGTCTATTTCCTATGAGTATGCAAAAAACCCCTACCCAAACCTATATAGATCTTCCAAAGCTAAAATATCAACATGCACTTATTTTGTTTTAAACAAATTATGACTCCATAATATGGAATAAAATGGAATCCAGTGTTATCTTACCAGTAGTAAAAGGTCCCTCTGGGATAAAAAAAGCCCCAACGCTAATTGCTACTGCTGTAGCAAACTTAAAAAACCAGAATCTAAAAGGGAAAAAGGAGAAATAGAACCATCAATAATTCCAGGGAAAAAAAAAATGTACACTAAACTTAAATAGTTAAACATGTTTTAGGGCCTAGAAGTACAGAATTTAAAAGTTCTTATTTTCTAGCACATTTCTGATTTCTTTTC